GACACAGATTTGAATTTCAACTCAGTTTCAAATTCTGTTCCCCATATCTCAACTACTGTCCCCCAGTTGCACCATAACATAAGGCAAGATGCGGTTCCCTATGAGAGCCAGTTCATCAACTGATGGCTCCCCATACCCCAAGCTACGACTGCTCCCAGCTGACTTGGAAAAATGAGTGGGACAGTGTGAGGAACTAAGTGTAGAGTATAAAGCCCTATAGATTCTGAAGCAGTTTCAGCTCTGATTACTAGATGCAGGCAGTTGAAGGCTTGAGTTGGATCTAATGTGTTGTATCCTCTGTACTTCCAGGTCTAAGGGAGGAGAGCAAAGCTGCATTGACCAGTAGCACGTGAGTCACCAGAACTCATAACAATAGGCATTCTCTTCATTCTTATATTGACTTCCATGAAAAAAGAAGGAAAAGTACGTGAGCTGTGGTACAGGACATCTGAATATTTAGAAATTCTAAGTTCCTCCTGGAAGGCTTTTGCATCATCTTAGATATTTCATGTCACTGAATGGCTGAGAACTTCATGCAGGTATGTCCAGAAAAGCAGTCTAGGGATTCAAGAGAAGAAAATGATGGTTCTGGCAGCAACACCACTTTGAGTTTACTATGACACTGGGCAACCAGGTCCATGAGGCTCACGAAGAGAGCTGGTGACAAAATGTGCTTTTCGTCTCCTCTCAACATGTTCCAGTGCTAGCAGAAGAGAAAACATTGTCTATTTATTAGACAGGATTTACAATGAACAGAAACAGGTTTCTTTGTAATTTTCTCCTAATGACTCTAGATTTTTTTCTTTTCCCCCTGAAGTTCAGTCATATAAACAGATGGCTTCACTTAGTTAAAATACTCCACTTTCCAAAAATACTTTTGATAATGTTTTTAATTTCTTCTTTAAATGTGGAACACTTTATTGGTGGTAAAATTTCAAAAATATTCCTTAAATCAAGGTGCATTGAACTGGACACAATAGTCTAAGTATGGTGAAACTGAGAAAAGCAGAATAGAGATGAACAGTTCTTCTGTCACTGTTACTTCTGTTGGTGTGGTGTTTGTTTCTAATAGTTCTTATTAACTGAATATAGCAAAAGTTCTGCTCATATTCATGTCTATACCTTCATCTGAAATTACATTCAGTTTTTCTCTATATCTCTTTATTTTTATACCATGCTCTCTTCTTCTTTATATTAAACACAGTCTTCTTAGTAAATCTTGGTAGCAGAGGATAAATTTAATAGGAATGTTTCCCCATTGTGTGAGAGAAAGAAGTAAGACCAGAGAAGAGGATGAGTCAGAGTCTGGGAACTGTGAAGGATGATCATAGGTGGGAACTACACATAAGAGGCAGGGGAAAAAAGGGGGGTTCAAGAAAGATATCCTTTTGAGCTTGCTGAATAAGGCAGGAAAAGAGAATAGGCAGAGAGTGAGAAATGAGAATAATTCTGGATGATGGGATATTGCCTGAAATGGGGGATTACAAGGTATCTAAGACATTCTCTTTCATAAAGAGGGAATATTCGTGTTGTTTTGGTGGTGGTATATGTATGAAGGCAAATTACCTATTAGGTCAGAGGACTGAATCAGGAGTTTCCCCTTCACCAAAGATCAGGCTTTTGGGGTCAGAAAACTTTTAAATGGAATGATTTATTTAAGATCCTCAAGTTTCAGCAAGAACTTTATGCTATCACTGTCCCTCCCTCAGGTCCATAGCTCTCTCAGTTCCTGTTCATGTCTTGAGATTCTTCCTGTGGCTTGCTTTAATTTCCCTACTGGTTCCACAGGGCCCTTTGGCTAATATTTTCCTGTTTACTGTTTTTAATCTTTAGACTCAGCATTCTAAAAATAAAATCTTTAAACACAATATTCTACAACTTAATATTCTAAAAATGGAAACATGCACGTGTTTATCTTGCAAGTCTTTTTAAAATTTTTGTATGGGAAAATATAGTTTATGTAGAAAGTAGGTGAGAGAGAGAGAGAGAAAGGAGATCCACCTCCCCAAGGTTGGGGAGGGGCCCAAAGCTTAGGGAAACAAAAGCATGGCCACTCAAATCTTACAAATATTTCTTAAGATTTTTTTTATTCAGCAACAAAAAGATTAAAATTATGTCATTTGCAGAAACATGGATGGAACTGGAGGTCATTATCTAAAGTGAAACAAATGAGACAAAAAAAGACAAATGCCACATTTTCTCACTCATAAGTGGGAGCTAATTAATGTGTGCACATCAATGTAGAGTGTGGAATGATAGACAATGGGGACTCTGAAGGGTGAGAAATGGCAGGAAAAGATAAGAAATTACTTACTGGGTACAATATACATTATTCAGATGATGGATACTGTAAAAGCCCTGATTTCATCACTATGATCTAGGTATGTAACAAAATTACATTTGTACCCCATAAATTTACATAGATAAAAATAAACAAATTAATGGCATAAAAGAATTTTTTTGTTAGGTACTGTAGATGCAGCATGAGGCAAAAAGATGGAAAATACATTCTATGGACTTTAGAGATTTTTACAGTGGATTGAGGAGAGAGGAATGTCAGTCAGTGATGTGTTTTATGCAATATTTAAATATAATAGTATTTTTTCCTGAGGACTTTTCCTTTAATTCTCTCTCTTTATAATCAATACTTTTCTCTCTATAATCTTTTCCCTTTAAACATATTCAAATTTCTTTTATTAAAAATTCCCTACTTTTAATAGATACATTTCTAACTCTGCATTCAGTTTTCCCTTCATGCCAAGTTGTCTGCTGAAGTGAGGATTTCTGATGAACTGATCAGTTCTTCCTGTGTCCATTCACTCAAGTTCTGCTGCTCCTTGTTTTTCCATATTCCACGCCTCTCTTCACACTGACCTGTTCTTGCTAGGATCCCCAATGATTACCTAACTGACAAATGCAATGGAAGACTTCTTTCCCTATATTACTGAAATTCTTCATGTGAACACATCTGGCTATGCTATTGGACTTTCAATTATGTCTCTGGAAAATCATTTTAGGTCTTCTTTGAAATCTCTTTACCTCTTCTGGTCCTAAGTTTAAAGGTATGTTTATTAGGAATCTATTATTATGGGTTTTTTTTTTTTTGGTCTTTTAATCTACATTTTCTCCTTGAGTAAATTTATTAAGTGCTAAGGTTATACAACACACTATGTCCTGATGATTTCCAATTTTCTATCACCAACTTTGAGCTTTCAAAAAAAAATTCAAGGTGTTTTCTCCAACATTTTTTGGTCACATATGCATTTTGAGAGTTTACAAACCTCTCAAACTAAATATATAAAAATTTGATTCATAATCTCTGCCTCTACAAAATACATTAAATCTTTTAAAAACCTATTGTTTGCCTTGTAAAATTTACTTAGTCCAAGGGTACCTGCATGATCAATGTTTAGGTACCAAACCCTGAATTGTACCCCATATCTTTATAATAAAAATTTTTAAAAATTTTAAAATTTACTTATATAAGTCAGAACAGACTATACAATTTTAGGATTTCTTTAGTCTTTTCTTCTATACAGCTGGTCATCTAATACTGCCCATGTCATTATATTAATACCTCTAAAAGACGATCCTTTTCTTCATCCTCAAAGTCATCTCAGCACCATTTGTTCACATACTGACCACTTCTCAACAGTCATTTGTCCTTTTTTAGAAGTCCTTTGCCTCTTTTAGTCTCTTAAGTTTGGGTGTGAAAGAAGAAATAAGAGATGTAGTATATTTATTTAAAAATGAAATCACAGTCTTTACACCAAATGGAGATGTGGTATATATGAAGAAATTTAAAAACAAATGAGAAATTTGAACATTTTGAATACCCATGGGAAAGATTTAGGAGAGACTGAATACATATGAAATAGATGGAATAAATCATAAGTCAAAGTTCCTAAGACAGGTGGTTAGGATCCAAATCAGAGGCAGAGGAATTGTCTTTAGGAGGAGGGATAAATCCTTAGATCTTCTGACACAAAGAGGAGAGAAAAAAATATGTGTATATATATATATATATATATATATATATGTTAATGGATTTATGAGTCTATTATGGGGAGTTGAGGAACTTGCAGTTGATGATTCTGCTGCCTTTATGAAGCAGCCACAAAGATTATTTGAGAGAGAAGATTTAGCATTTGAATAGAATTTAGAAAATTTGAAAATTTCCTGAAATTGGTGGACAAATGAATTAACCAGAGAAGGTTATTGTAATAAACTTGTATATTAAGTGTTCCTTAGAGGTTTGTGGCTACACATTTTACTTAAAACATAACTTTCTATAGGAACCATAACTTTCTATAGGAACATTAAATTTGCCATGTGCAGGCTTGGATTAAGTATATCCAGGATGGGTGTGTGTGCCAGAAGTACAATAAGCCAGAAGGAGAAGTAATTTGGGGGGTCCTCTTTATATTTAATCAATGGTTACTTTTATTTTCCTCTAGCTTTGAGAGTGTATCATAATTTTTAAATTTTATACTTTGGGATATAATAAAAAGTGAGAAAAATTTTTTACTCATATCTAAAAAATTATGGTATCAATACTTACAGAAAGCACCCTATAGTTAAATACAATTTTATGACATGTTTGTTAATTTTATGTAACTTTACAAACCAGCAAGTGTATCTGGCCTTTAGGATGTAAAATTTGTTAACTTTCTTTGTCAATATCACTTAGAAAAATTTTTGCAGCTTTACATTATGTTTTAATAATTTAATTCTCATAATTTTTCTCCTAGACTTTTGTCTAGATTTTTTTCCCTTTCTAAATAAACTTTAAAAATAATTTGCCAAGGCTTCTCCCATGCGTGTTCTTCCTCACCTGCTTATTGAACTTTGTTTTCATTTGAAATTGATCCTCTATATGTCATCAATTTTCTGAATGAGAAATTGTTAACATTTGGACAGTCTTGTTTTTTATTTACCTGATAACTGTGTCTTATCATACACAAATCCAGGTGAAGTTTCCTCAGTTTAGGATTTATCTCATGACATCACCCAGCAACTATTCCACTGCCCCGGTCTCTGAATTCCTCCTCATCTGCTTCCCCAACTTCCAGAGCTGGCAGCACTGGCTGTCCCTGCCCCTCAGCCTCCTTTTCCTCCTGGCCATGTGGGCTAACATAACACTCCTGCTCACCATCCAACTGGAGACCACTCTGCACGAACCCATGTACTACCTGCTCAGCCTTCTCTCCCTCCTGGACATTGTGCTCTGCCTCACTGTCATCCCCAAGGTTTTGGACATCTTCTGGTTTGGAAATAAATCTATCAGCTTTTCTGCCTGCTTCCTCCAGATGTTCATCATGAACAGTTTTCTGACGATGGAGTCCTGCACATTCATGGTCATGGCCTATGACCGCTATGTGGCCATCTGTCGCCCTCTGCGGTACCCATCCATTATCACGAACCAATTTGTGTTTAGGGCTTCCATCTTCGTTGTGATGAGGAATGGCCTTCTTACTATGCCTATCCCCATACTTTCTTCCCGGCTCAGATACTGTGCAGAAAACATGATCAATAACTGCATCTGTACTAACATATCTGTTTCTAAACTCTCTTGTGATGACATTATCTTCAATCAGTTTTACCAGTTTGTTATAGGTTGGACCCTGCTAGGTTCGGACCTCATCCTTATTGTTCTCTCTTATTTTTTTATCCTGAGAACTGTGCTAAGCATCAAGGCTGAGGGAGCTGTGGCCAAAGCTCTAGGTACTTGTGGTTCTCACCTCATCCTCATCCTTTTCTTCAGCACGGTCCTGTTGGTTCTGGTCATTACTAACTTGACTAGGAAGAAAATTCCCCCGGATGTCCCCATCCTGCTTAACATCCTGCACCACCTCATCCCTCCAGCTCTGAACCCCATTGTTTATGGTGTGAGAACCAAGGAGATCAAGCAGGGAATCCAGAAACTACTGAGAAGGTTGTAAAAAGTAAAATGAGTGAGACCTGACCTTGGTAACAGAAATTGATAAAAGGTTAGAGTTTTTATGTTGCATAGAAAATTTAAATTGTTACCACAGGAATATGTTTAGATTTGACTTTTCTCAGCATTTTAGTTGATTATGGCAACGTCCATAGCTTGGCTTCTTCCTTTTGCTGCACTGACTGGAACCTTCATTTTTTGGCCTCATATATGTGATAGAAAGTAGTTAAGGCTAAATATAGGAACTTTGCATGATATGGTTTGTCAAATAAAGAATATATCTTATAACAATTATTTTAACTGCTTTTCAGTTTCCTGGATTGTTGTATATACAAAGACATAATTTCCCCAGATGTCCCCATCCCATGTGTGTGCTTGTCTGTGTGTGTGTGTGTGTGTGTGTGTGTGTGTGTGTGTGTGAAATAATCTCTTAGTTCTCTCTGACACAGCTCGATTTTTTTTTTTTGGCATGGATGGATCTCTTGTGGTTGTACAGACATTGACCCTGGAGTTGCAAATTTTTAGTAGAGTGAATAATATGTGCTAGCCACTTGTCTTCACAGATCCTTGTCCTGACAGATCTGCTAGTTTTTTTTCCTAATGTTACTTCTTTGGAGAAGGAATATCCTTCAGCTATCTTCTTCTTCCTAATGATATTTTAATATTTTAACATTTCATATTTATATGGATGTGTTTTGTTTTAAGAGACTATTTGTGTCCTTTTATAGATGTACTTTACCAACTTCTGGGTTTATATTATACTACCTCAATTTTTTATCAGATTTCTGGCACCATCTTCATTCCTATTCTTTCCTGCTTGTCTTAGGTTTACAGTTAAATTTTCTTTCCCTTCCTATTATCAGCCCTGTTGCATCAATCTTCAAATCCTGTCCTAGGATCAGCATAGCTTCCTGGAATCGAGGCATCTGGATTAGTGGGTTTGCTGAACAATGATAAGTGTGTTTTACTCTTTGCAACTTTTATCCTGATTTGAAAATAAGAGGGACTAGATATTGACCAATATTTCCTGGGATTAATTTACATTAACAACTCAGGATCCTTTTTGGATAGTAGTTAAGAGCCTCATAGATACTATTTTTTAAAAAATAAATTATTTATTTTTCTTTTTGAGTTGGGATCTCACTCTGTCATCCAGGCTGGAGTACAGTGGCACAGTCACCATTGTCATGACTCACTGCAGCTTTGAACTTCTGTGCTCAGACGATCCTTCCACCTCAGCCCCTGGAGTAGCTGGGACTGTAGGTGCATGCTGCCATGCCTGGGTTTTTTTTTTTCTTTTTTGTAGAGACAAGGTCTCTGTATGTTGCCAAGGCATGTCTAGAACTCTTGGGCTCAAGCAATCCTCCTGTCACAGCCTCCCAAAAGTGTTGGGATTACCAACATGAGTCACCATGACTGGCTTATATTTTTTTGGATAATTTTTTTTATACACTTGAGTTACTTATATTTTGTTACTACATAGCTCTGAGTTATAGATCAATGGTGGGTTAAAATTTACTAAAAACTTCTTTCATCCACTAAAATGATGATATTTTTGTGTGATTGAGTTTGTTTATGAAATGATTCTATTGATCATTTGTTAAAACATAAACAAATTTATCATTCCTATAATAAAGCTAGTTTACTTGTGATGTATTATTCTTTGACTATCACTGGATATGATCTGCTAATATGCAATTTGGTATTTCCGCATCTGTATTTGTGAGATAAATTGGACCTGGACTATTATTGTAATACTATAAGAAAAGGATTGGTGGCAGTGGAAAACCGGTGGGGGGGAGGGGGCAGCAGGATTGGCACTGGTGGGAATCCGTGGGGGGAGGCACACCTCATCAACAAGGACACCCATACAGTGAACACCTGTATACCTGACACCGAACTTCACCCCACATCCCTAAAATAAAAAATAAAAAAATAAAACAACAACAAAAAAACCCTTGTATACCGTTGATGGGAATGTAGATTAGTACAGCCATTTTGAAAAACAGTATGGATGTTCCTCAAATAAATTAAAAATAAAATTACCATACAATCTCAAAAAAATTTTTTTCTCAGATTTTGGCACCAAGTTTACTATGTTGGACAAATAAAGTGTGTACAGTTTTACTATTTTCCTGTGGAAGAGTTCATATAAGATTGACACATTTTTTTCACTACTATTCAGAATCTTTCTAAGCCTGGAGACACTTTTTTTTTTTTGAGTTGGAGTCTCACACTGTCACCCAGACTGGAGTGCAGTGGCCGCTCCCGGCCACCGCAGCCTCGACCTGCTGGGCTCCGGCGATTCTTCCGCCTCAGCCTTCCGAGTAGCTGGAATTACAGGCATGCGCTGCCACGCCCGGCTGATTTTTTTATTTATTGTAGAGATGAGGTCTCGCTGCCCAGGCGGGTCTCGAACCCGCGGGCTCAGGCAATCCACTCACCTCAGCCTCCCAAAGGCGTGGGATTACAGGCTGAGCCACCGAGCCCGGCTCCTGAAGATACTTTTATGGAAGAATGAGTGTTATGAGACACTCTCATTGTTGGTCCTTGAATATAATGTGTCTCCTTCTTTCTTTTTTTTTTTTAAATGTCTTACTCTGATTAGCCTAGTTGTCTTTTTTTTTTAATCTGACATCCTTGCCTTTTGTAGAAGTTATTAGAACTGAAGCATGATTTCTTTCATTAGTTTTGGGATATTCTCAGCATCTCTTTGTATATTCTTCCCTATTCTCTTTTCTAATTTTGACACTTGCTTATACACATTTGTTAGGCAATTTATCCATCCTAAAAAACGTGTCTGTATGTTTTAATGTTTGTTTATCTCTTGTTTTTATGTTTAGTTTTCCTCCATTTATACCTCCATCTGAATATTTTCCAGTGACTTATCTTCCTAATTATTACTCATTATCTCAGTTTGGACTAATATCATGTTAAGTCCATATATGTGTCTCTTAATTCAACTCTTGTGCTTTTTAGTAAAATAATTTTAAAATTTTTTCCATTCCAAAGATGTGGGGTACAATTCAGGGTTAGGTACACAATTGCTCACCATGCAGGCACCCTTGCTGATGAGGCAGGCCACCCTGCTTCCTCGACAGATTCCCACCACTGCCAACCTTGCCTACCCCTGCTTCTGCCCTCCCAACCCCTCCACAGCTTCCTGCCATCGCCAATCCCCTTCTCACAATATTATAATTGTTCTAAGTCCACTTATGAGTGAGAGCATGTGATACTTAGTTCTTTGTTTCTGTGATAGGTCACTCAGTATTATAGACTCTAAGTCCATCCAAGTTGCTGTGAAGTTCTTAATTTTGTCTTCTTTATGTTTGCATAATATTCCATCATGTATATGTACCACATTTTTTTCTTTCAATGGGCAGCAAAGTTTGTTCCATGTTTTTGCTATTGTGAACAATGCTGCAATGAACATATGAATGCAGGCATCATTTTCAGAGAATGACTTGAGTTCCTCCAGGTATATTCCCCATAGAGGGATTGCAGGGTTGGATGGAAGGTTGATTTTTAGATCTTTTAGGAATTGCCAAACTGTTTTCCACAGAAGCTGTATTATTTTACACTCCCAGCAACAGTGTAGAAGTGTTCCTTTTCCCCCTCATCCTCTCCAGCATCTGTTGTTATTGATGATGGCCATAATGACTGGAGATAGGTGGTATCTCAATGTAATTTTAATTTGCATCTCTTTGATTATTAGTGAGGCTGAGTATTTTTTCATGTATCTGTTGACTGCTTGTATGTCTTCTTTTGAGAAGAGTATATTTATATCTTTTGCCCATTTTTAATAGGGTTGTTTCTTTTTTCTTTTCAGCATGAAAGTCCTCCATTTCCTTTAGGTTTTCAAGTTTATTTCCATACAAGTGTACATAGTAGTCTTTGGTAATCTTTTGTATTTCTTCGGGGTCAGTTGTGACTTGATCTTTTGCATTTCAGGTTGTGCTTATTTGGGCTTTTTCTCTCTTTATCTTGGTCAGTCTGGCTAGGGGTTAAACAATCTTGTTTATCTTTTCCAAAAAAGCAGTTTTCGGTTTCACTGATTTTTTTTTTGTATTATATTTTTGTCTTCTATGTCTCAAATTTGGGCTTTTATTTTGGTAATCTGGATTCTTCTGCTGATGTTAGGGCTTTGGTGGTCTTGCTTTTCCAGCTTATTTAGGTGATTTGTTTGGCTTTTATTGTTATCTTTCCATTTTCTTCTTGTGTGTACGTAGAGATATGAATTATCCTCTTAGTACTGTTTTCATGGCATCCAGAGGTTTTGGTAAGATGTTTCTTCATTTTCATTTGTTTCCAGCTGGATTTTCATCTCTGTTTTGATTTCTGTGTTGAACCAGAAGTTGTTTAGCATCATGATGTCAGTGTCCATGTTTTTGTGGGTTTTGGGGGAACTTTGTTGGTGTTGATATGTATTTTTATTCCACAGTGGTCTGAGAAGGTGCATGCCAGTATTTCAATCTTATGGAATTTGTTTATGCTTGATTTATGGCCAAGGGTGTGGTCGATCTTAGAGTACATTCCATGTGGTGATGAGAAGAATGTATATTCCATGGTTCTTGGGTGGAATGTTCTGTAAGTATCAATTAAATCCATTTGGTCAAGTGTCACATTGAGGTTCCAGATCTCCTTGTTGATTTTTTGTCTTGATGATCTGTCTGGGTTTGTGAGTGGGGTATTTAAGTCCCCAGCTATGATAGTAATCAAGTCATTATCTTTTTAAAGTTTACCTAGGAGCTGTTTTATGAAAGTTGGTGCTCCTCTGTTGGGTGCATATATGTATAGGATGGATATTACTTGCTGATGGGTTGAATATTTTATCATTATGTGATGACCTTCCATATCTTTTTTAGTTTTTGATAGCTTAAAGGGTATTTTGTCTGATATTAAGATTGCAACTCCTGCTTTATTTTGTATTCCACTCACCTGAAATTTTGTTTCCCATCCTCTTACTATGAGTCTATGAGTGTTGTTTCTGGTATGATGAGTGTC